GATCACCTCGGACATGTCTCTCTGATCGCTGCTCCTTTCTGCCTCCTCGTCTTCGTCCTTGGGTCTCTCTCCGCTCTCTCCAGTCCTCGCACTGTTTTCTAGAGGAAATTTGAGTGTTTTGTTCTGGATGTGCAGGAATTCGCTGTGAGGACATCTGCAGCACAGACAACATGTTTTTGATTCAGTTCGGTCAGGATACAGAAACCATTACTCATCCTGCTGGTCCAGGTTCAGCTGACTTTGGTCTAGAGGTTGGTCCGGCTGGTTCCAGTCTCCGTGTTTTTACTCAGACAGGTTATAAAGAAAAGTTCCCTCAGACTGACGGTCAGCAGATCCGTCAGTGGAAGAGAGTGAGGAGGTGAAGTAGTGGAGATAAAAGCAGGAGGACTTTGATGTGATGAAGAGACGGCGCGGCGACACGAGGGACTCCTGTAAACCTGAATGCCAATTAGCAGCGTGTGTCAAATGAGAAGATCTGCGACCATCAGCACTTTGAGTCCACTTTACAAAGACTTGTCAGGAAGTTTTTGACACGGAAAGAGAGGGAGAGACGGCGGGGTCGAATGTTTGAAAACACAGGGAGAGGGCTGGAGGTTCGGAAACATCACTTCTCTGGATTTAAGACAACACTCGTGAGGTTAACACCAAAGTCTGGCTCCATCAGTAACCACCTGAATAAGAAACCTGCTCTTTAAGAAGCCAACAGCTTAGACTTCAGACCAGGACTTTGAGAAGCTGATCTTCAACTAAACGTCCAGACGTGTCTACGGACATGAATCAGACCTAAACCAAAGACCTCACAGTCTGGGATTGTCTTTGTACCTCACCAATAATCTGACGTCCTCCATTGTTGTAGGAAATCATCTCTGTGTTGATTCACTTAGGTCAAGGGTCATGTTACGATGAGAGTACCATCATCTAAACTTTAGACTTTGAACATCCGTGACCCTCGTACTCAGGATTTGATGGTGGATCTGTGAAGCTGCTCAGAACCTGAACTTCAGCTGTTCTCCTCTCTTTCTCTGTAACTTCTGTACGATGGATCTGGAAAAGGTCCCGAAAGTCCAGAGAGACACGATCAAACGATTGAGGAAAAATCAAACTTCAGAGAAACTCTGAGAGGTTTCCAGCTGATGGTCTGAGACGTGGATCCTCATGAAGGTCTTAGTTTTCTGTGGGCAGAAGATGAATCCTGTTTGTATTTTTCAATAACGGAGGTTAATTATTAACGTGTTTACCGCTCAGACTGTCCTCTCTGGACCAATCAGAGAGAAGGAGACGGATCATCATCAGCAGAGACAAAGACACTAACCCCCAATTTCCACCACATCCACAACATCTACTAAAAGGTTGTATCCTCCAATCGTAGCTGATTGTAACCATTCAAGTTAACGTGTCAATTTCCACCGGCTTCTTTCCGTTGGGCACAGACACAAAATGAAACATCTGGTTTCCTTTCCAAAACAAAACACTCCGTGTTTCAGGCGGTTCGAATTTCACACCATGCAAACAGGCGGAGACAAACGAGTGAAAGGTTTTTAGACATCATTTCACCCCGATGACACCATGGACGAGGAGATGCTGATTCTAGAAGTCTAGAAGTAGATTTCCTTATATGTCTATGTGTCTGTCTTTATAGAGAAAACTCGTTATCGCGTGATTGCACGTGAATCTGCGGGTTCTTGTGAGTTCTCACAATTCCATAATCCGCCACTCAATTGGCCTCACCAGTGGATCTGGTGGGAATTGGTGGATGACGAAAATCGCTGCCGCTATGACTCTGAGCCCTCCAGATGCGGTGGAAATTGGGGGTAACACTCTTTTGGAAAGAACAACTGGACTTACTTGGGATGTTTCACCAAGTAAGTTCAGTTGTCCTTTCAAGGAAGAACTGTAAATCATAGAGTTCTTGCGATTCCTGCTGTCCGTAATCCGCCACGAAATTCGTCTCACAAACGGATCCGGTGGGAATTGGCGTACGGAGTAAATTGCCAAGGTTCCGTATTGGAGCCGTTCCAGATGTGGTGAAAATCCCGGGTAAGACTCTGTCGCTTACAGGTCTGTTTGATAATGAAGAGACTAAAACTGAAACTCAGAGGAGGAAATAATATTTCAATAATAATAATATTTCCTGTTTTCAGACTCTGAGTGAGTCAGAGCGCTGCAGGAAAACCTCTGATGGTTTCTAACAACAGGGTCAGGGACACACACACACACACACACAGTCGGTGTGTGTGTGTGTGTGTGTGTGTGTGTGTTTGAGAGGAGCTGAGAATGCAGAGAGTTATTTTTACTCCCAGAGAAGTGGAATAAAAGCCGAGCGAGGCGAGCGAGCGAGTCGTGGTTTCTTTTACATTTTCATTGCAGCAGCATGAGGAGGATCGGCTCTGTGCGGCTTCATCGAGCAGAAACAGAAACCGCAGATAGAGAGAGAGAGAGAGAAAGTGAAGCACTGATATTTCCATCTGTGTTTCATGTAGAGAGAAAACCGGCTGTGAGATTCAGAGGGTTTGAAGTGGGGAGAAGGAGAAGGATGGAGATATCTGCACCGTCCTCATCATCATCAGCTCTGAAACAAAAACGTCTGAGCAGGAGAAAAACTCTGAACAAGTTTAACTCTCAGAGAGCAGATCCACTTCACGAATTATGACCCTGTGGTTCACCTGGAGATGTTCTCACTTTAATTCACTGATTTGCTCCAAATTTCAGAAACTCTCTGAGACTGAAATAAAAGATCTGAGATGTAGGTTAGCACCCAAACACCAGCCCTGAAAATCCCCGTCTTTGTGTCTGTGCGGTCAGACCCTTTCAGAGCAGAGCGAGGGAAACCCGGTCTATAGATCGATCCTCAGACACCTGAGCGTCCCGCCGGGTTAGAGGAGAGTCCTGAGAAAGCAGTCAGGTGTAATCTGAACCCGTCTCTGCTCTGACCTACAGGAAGGACAAGGACGCTCTCCGTTCTTCTTCATCTGTTCGCTTCAGTGAGTTTCTGCAGAAAATTCAAGGTTGTAGTGAGTTTATGGGAGGACCTGGACTGAACAGAGGTCAGAGAGAGTGATTAAAACCTGAATCTGGTCCCATTCAGACATCCCAGCATTGATGAGGTCCAGCTCTAATGAGGTCTGGCTCAGGATCAGAGTTTCAGTTCATCCCAAAGGTGTCAGGGTCAGGACAGTGTGAAGAGCTGTGAAGTCATTTAGAGGAAACTGCTCTTTAGTCTGGATGGGGGTCTCCAGACCAGCTTTCAGTTTTATTATGGATTTTTTATATTTTTGATTTTGTAGCTTTAAGATTTTAAATTTTGTAATTTTAAGATTTTTAAGATTTTTAGTTTTTATATTTTTAATTTTGCAGCTCATATCTTTAATTTTTTTGTTTTTATATTTTTAAATTTATAATTTGTAGATTTTTGATTTTGTATTTTTTATATTTTTTAAATTTGTAATTTTTATATTTTTAATTTTGTAGTTTTTAGATTTTTATTAATTATATGTTCTGTTTATTGATTTTTCTCTGTTTTTTAGTGTATTTTCCCTAGTTTTCCTGTTCCCCTGTACTCCTTTTTTTAATCACTCATCAGTCTCACCTGTGTCTCGTCTGCCTCACCTGTTGCTCGTTCACCTGTGTGTGTATATAGTCTCTGTATTCTCTCTGTTCTTGTTGGTTTAGTGTGTGTTTGATTGTCAGTCTGTGTGTGTCAGCCGTAGACAACATTTACATGTGCCCATCTGTTTTCATAAAAAGACTTTAAAGGTGGGGTAGTCAGGATCTGAGTTAGTTCCAGTTGTCAGGAGAAATCTTGAATGTGAACTCTACCCCTCCCAACTAGTTTTCCCCTCAGCTCCTCCTCTCCCCTCCCTCTTTGCTCCAGCAAGCCCCGCCCACAAACAGATGCTCCTGCTCGCTTGTATCGTTCCAATTAAATTCAGGTATAAAGCAGATAAATACTTCAGATAATTACAAATGGAGCCCAGTCAACATGAAAGCATTGGTGCTACTGTCGATGCCAACAGACTACCAGCAAACACAATGTTTGCAGGACTTCAACAACTAGGATAAAGTGACATAGTCCAGGACCCGAGGGAGGACAGTTAAGCGGCACTGCAACACGCTACAGCAGGTCCTGTTTGACAAGAAACACTTCTATTACAGACACTTGGCTTACTTTGTTAAAGCGGTTTACCTGTCCAGCAGAAAGGTTACAGGGTCCGGGAGATCCCAAAGCGTCCCCCATCGTTTATGTTGACCCGGCTTTTTTAGCTCTTGTCCGGGTGGTCTACCTCCTTTTTAAGCGTCTGTTATTCTGCCAGAGTTTGCTTGCTTGTGTCGGCAGTCGTGGCTAAAGGAGGATTCAGACAACTTTCCGAACTTTCTGGTTGGTTTCTACTGTCCGATATTGTAACACGCTAACTTTGTTTGGGCTCCTGAACGACACGGGGGAGCAGCATCTGCCTCACAACCAATCAGGTTGGGGAGGTGGAGAACGGCTTTGTTTACAGTCAGAAAGAATGGACCGTTCAAAAATGTTCAAATGTTGACTCCACAGACATAAGAGAACACAGCAATATCGTTTTATTCCCAAATATCATCAATAACTAATATCTATTGGCTGATATTAAAAGTTTTTTTTTATAATAACACCACAAAACAAGATGCTTCTTTAACGGATTCCTGCCTACCCCAACTTTAAGACTCTCAGTTTCCAAAAAAAAAAAAAAACAGTGTGCACACCCCAACGTTTCAATCCCACGTTAACCAAGATCACACTCGTCCCTGTGAACATGGATGAGTGTGTGAGATCGGATCAGACTGGAATCCAAAACTCTATACATGTAAAATAACCTTTTATTCTGACTGATAATCAATAATTGATAATCCATGAAAACCATGATATTTGAACCTCTGCTCATGAAGACTTTCACTGGACTGAGGAAGAATCAAACCTTTAAACGGAGGGAGAGTAGGAGCTGAAAGAGAGAGAGATTGTGAGAGAGATCAAGATGGAGGAGGGAGAAAGGATGATGGGTCACCTCGTTAAAAAGAGGGATGACGGGGGTCTGTGTTCACAGGCTGATGGACGGAGAAGAGGAGGAAGAAAAGAGGAGGATGAAGAGGAGCTGACAGGATATATGAAGGTGGAATCGAGGAAGAAATGGAGAGAAAAAAGATGAGAGAGAGAGACATTTTTCGGTTTTACAGCCCGTCATAAATCTCTCCATTAGCTCGCCCTTTACTGCTGAGTGAAATTTATAGGAGAGAACGAGGAGGAGGAAGAGGAACGAGGAGACTGATAAATATTGAGAGACTCATTCAGTATTTTTCCTTAATGTCTGTTTTTATGCAGCGGATTAATTTATGTTTTCAGAGGAACAGCTGATGATCGAATATGAATTATTGAAACAGGAAACGGATGCATGAATAATAAACTTTAATGGATCCTTATGATACTGTGCTGGGAAAATAAAAAACTCCCAGCATGCAAGAAATCAGCATGTAGAGAAAAACAACAAAGCATCTGAAATCTATTTGAGTAAAAATAATAAAAAATAATCTGATAAACAGATTTACAAACAGCAGGAGTTCGTATCTAAAAATATTACAGATCAATCATTGTCTATATTTCACGATATTTTCTAGGAAATGTCCCTGTGAGGCAGTTTTTCACTTTTTCTCTGGGTGTAGAAAAACCTACACAACTAAAACATTTTCATTTCTCTTATAAAATGTTTGATAAAGTTGTTTAAAACCTTCAGCAGACGTCAGATAAATAACAACATCATCGGCATAAATAGTAAACTTTGAGGTCTTGGTTCTTCCATTGAAGACAAATTCAGTGAAAAAAGGAAAAAAAGAGAATTAAATGATTTGATTGATGATACTATTCATTTTTTTATAAAACTGATGTTTTATTTTGATTTTGTCATAAAAATCACAATAATATCATCATTGTGATTTAAAGTCTACCAGCTTCACCTGTCTCTGTAAGCAGCACTACGTCAGCATTTGCACCACCTCTGCTCTTTCAGTCCATTAATCCCTCATCCTCCACCTTTACCTCCATCCTTCCATCCTCCACCTTCATCCTCCACCTTTACCTCCATCCTTCCATCCTCCAACTCCATCCTCCACCTTTACCTCCATCCTTCCATCCTCCACCTTCATCCTCCACCTTTACCTCTAACCTTCCATCCTCCAACTCCATCCTCCACCTTTACCTCCATCCTTCCATCCTCCACCTTCATCCTCCACCTTTACCTCTAACCTTCCATCCTTCATCCACCACCTTTACCTCCATCCTTCCATCCTTCATCCTCCAACTTTACCTCCATCCTCCACCTTTACCTCCATCCTTCCATCCTCCACCTTCATCCTCCACCTTTACCTCTATCCTTCCATCCTTCATCCACCACCTTTACCTCCATCCTTCCATTCTCCATCTTCATCCACAACCTTTACCTCCATCCTCCACCTTCATCCTCCACCTTTACCTCTATCCTTCATCCACCACCTTTACCTCCATTCTTCCATTCTCCATCTTCATCCACCATCTTTACCTCCATCCTTCCATCCTTCATCCACCACCTTTACCTCCATCCTTCCATCCTTCATCCTCCAACTTTACCTCCATCCTCCACCTTTACCTCCATCCTTCCATCCTCCACCTTCATCCTCCACCTTTACCTCTATCCTTCCATCCTTCATCCACCACCTTTACCTCCATCCTTCCATTCTCCATCTTCATCCACAACCTTTACCTCCATCCTCCACCTTCATCCTCCACCTTTACCTCTATCCTTCATCCACCACCTTTACCTCCATTCTTCCATTCTCCATCTTCATCCACCATCTTTACCTCCATCCTTCCATCCTTCATCCACCACCTTTACCTCCATCCTTCCATCCTTCATCCTCCACCTTTACCTCCATCCACCACCTTTAACTCCATCCTTCCATCCTCCACCTCCATCCTCCACCTTTACCTCCATCCTTCCATCCTCCACCTTCATCCTCCACCTTTACCTCTAACCTTCCATCCTTCATCCACCACCTTTACCTCCATCCTTCCATTCTCCATCTTCATCCACCATCTTTACCTCCATCCTTCCATCCTTCATCCACCACCTTTACCTCCATCCTTCCATCCTTCATCCTCCACCTTTACCTCCATCCACCACCTTTAACTCCATCCTTCCATCCTCCACCTCCATCCTCCACTTTTACCTCCATCCTTCCATCCTCCACCTTTACCTTCATCAGAGCCTCTCCTCTCTTCCTCTTTCCCCTTTTTCTTTCTATATTTACTTTAAATTGAATCAGCGGGTAATAGAAACTGACAAGGGTCATTAAATTAACAATGTAAACTGTAACTATAGAGATGGACAGACAGAGAGACGGAGGGATGGATGGATGGACGGACGGACGGACGGGCATCTCACAGCTCCAATTACGTCTCAGAGCTGTAATTGGTTTGTCGCCTCGTCAAGTCTCTGCTTGACACTCAGTGTAATGGACAGAGACATTCAATTTAGAGCAAACACAAGCTGAATGTCAATTACCTGCAACTCTGAGAGCGGGGGAGGAGAGAGAGAGAGGAAGAGGAGGTGGAGGTGAGAGAGAGACAGAAAGAGGAGAAAAGAGAGGGATTCAGAGACGAAGAGAGAGAGTATAAAGGACAGGATGAAGAAGAGACAAAGAGAGGTGAAAGAGTGGGTACAATTTGAGCGAGTGAGGAGAGATTCCCCTCAGAGTGAAAATCCTCTTTACGAACAGGTTTGGACAGTCCTGGATTTCTGTGTCACAGACTGTGGAGAAGAAATGTTAAAAAGTCAAAATCAGAAAAAGATAAAATTAGAATGTCAAAAAATCTGTTTACTGAAATCAAATTAAATAAAGATTTTTAAAAATCACACAGACTGAAGCTATAAAGACACACAGGGAGTGAAAGAGGACCGAGTATGGAGCCCTGAGGGACTGTTTCAGAGCAAAACCTGCAACACTGACCCCGAATTTCCACTGCATCCGGAACGGCTCCGATCCACAACATGATTTTTTGCTGTCCACCAATTCCTACCAGATACATTTGTGAGGCAAATTTTGTGGCAGATTACGGACAGTGGGAATCGCAAGAACTCACAAGAACCCGCAGATTCACGTACAATCGCGCGTTAACGAGTTGTCTCTGTAAAGACAGACACATAGACATATAAGCACTAGATTATGTCCCTCCAGAGGAGGAAATCTACTTCTAGACTTCTAGAATCAGCATCTCCTCATCCATGGTGTCATCTGGGTGAAATGATGTCTACAAACCTTTCACTTGTTCGTCTCCACTGTTTTATTTTGAAAAGAAGCTGGATGTTTTATTTTGTGTCTGTGCCCAACTTTTTTCCAGCACAGGTCAATACATGCTGAATTTATCTGGCATGCTCCGTCGTCTGGAGAAAATAGAACTCTAACGATCAGCTGTGGAGTCCAGCGATCCACAGAGGAACGGAAAGAAGCTGGTGGAAATTGACACGTTAACTTGAATGGTTACGATCAGCTATGATCGGAGGATACGGTCTTTTTGTAGACATTCAGGATGCAGTGGAATTTGGGGGTCGGGATTTTTTTGTAAGAGTCCTCAGAATCTTCAAAACCTCTAAAAGTTTTAATGCTTTAAAATCCAAAAAAATGCTTCTACTTAAATAGTTTTCAGAAAGAGGGAAAGGTTCGGAAAAAGGTCCAAAACTGAAGAGGTCTGAGGGTTTGAGGTTTTTCCCCATGTTTGAAATAAATCTACTCCAGAGTAAAGACATGAAATCTAGGATGGTCTGAGTCTACATGAACATGCAAACACTTTGAGTTTTTATTTAGAAACTAATTCCAGAAAGAAAGTTCATCCATTAGTCTGAACATGTGCTGAATGTTTTTTAAACTTGAATAAAAATATTCAGCGTTTGTTCCTCTCTGATAAGTCCTCGACATAAATGAGCCTCTGGGACTTTTCTCTTTTCTTTCTTTGGCTTTGTGTTTTTTTTCCCAGCACAATAAACAGAAAAACATTCTGAGCTTCAGAGTCAGACGAGAGAGAAAAATGGAGGAAAGAGATTAAAAAGAGAGGAAATATGAACGAAAGAGAAAACAGAAAGAGAGAGAGAGAGAGAGGAAGGTGAAGCAATGAAAGAGGAGAGGTCGAACGGAGCGATAACAGAGGAGAGATAAGGGAGGAGAGATGATCAATGATGAACTAATCAATCACTCCTACTGATTTATCATCAGATCTTTGAGACAGCTGACATGCTGTATCTATAGGTGGCGCTGATGAGTGCAGCAGAGGATCGGAGCTGACAGTCATTGTTCAGACTAAATTTCCACCTCATCCTGAACAGTTACGAAAAGGTCGTATCCTCCGATCGTAGCTGATCGTAACCATTCAAGTTAACTTATCAATTTCCACTGGCTTCTTTCTGTTCATCTGCGGATCGCCGGACTCCTCAGCTGATGGCAAGAGTTCTATTTTTTCTGGACGCTGGAGCATGCTGGATACATTCAGCACAAATTAGCCCGTGCTGGAAAGGAAGTCGGGCACAGACACACAAAAAAAAAACATCCGGCTTCTTTTCAAAATAAAACACTCCGTGTTTCAGGAGGATCGTTTTTCACACCATGCAAACGGGCGGAGACAAACGAGTGAAAGGTTTTTAGACGTCATTTCACCTCGATGACACCATGGATGAAGAGATGCTGATTCTAGAAGTCTAGAAGTAGATTTCCTCCTCTGGAAGGACATAATCTATTGCTTATATGTCTATGTTTCTGTCTTTATATAGACAACTTGTTATCGCACAATTGAACATGAATCCAGGGTTCTTGTAACTTCTCGTGATTCCTGCTGTCCGTCATCCACCACGTAATTCGCCTCACAAACAGATCCGGTAGGAATTAGTGGACGGCAAAAATCACTGCCGTTCTGGATGCTGTGAGAATAGGGCGTAACACTCTTTTGGAAAGGACAACTGGACTTTCTTGGGACGTTTCGCCTAAGTCCAGTTGTCCTTTCAACGAAGAACTGTAAATCATTTTTCAGTCTCTCTGATTCCAGGTGTGTTCAGGTATTTCCTCCTCTTCTTCACGTCTCATCTTCGTCGTTCCTCTGGGGAAGATCCAGAGAGGAAATAAAACCGTCTCCTCATCCTCCTCATCCTCCTCCTCCTCGTTGTCTCTCGACCTCCTTTTCAAAAGGCTAAAGATGCCTCGAAGTGGACTGCAGCCGATTGAAAATGGAGCTCCTGGTTTTTCTTCTTCTTTTTTTAACCCTCCATCAAATAAAAGGAGGAGGAGGGATGAAAAAAAGGCGGTATTATGATGAAGATGAAAGATTGAAGTGTGGAGTCAGGGCTCAGAGGACAGGAAACAAAAGAAAGATGGAGCAATGTCAGCTTTGTGTCTGAAGGACGATTAAGAATCCTCCATAAAAGCTCAGCCTGACTGAATGTGTGAGTGTGTGTGAGAGTGTGTATTATTTCTCCGACTGTCACACTCTCTGAATGTGTTTTCTAATAACTTTCATTACACCTCGTTATTTCAGGGTCGATGTCACCTCCATAAAAGAATAAATCCACTCACTTTTCCTCTGAAGACACTCATAAAAAAAATCTAAAGGACTCTCTGCTTTTATCCATAAAGTCGACTTTTACGGATTTAAGTGATGTTAAAGTGCTCCACAATAAAAAATGAAAAATAAACCATGAAAAGTGAGAGAGTGTGTTCACTTGCAGCTGATCTCTGTGTGTGACTGATTAATAACAACAGTTAAATTCTGTTAATTTACAGTTTTATGCTGTTAAACTAAAACCAGGTCTGAGGATGAAGGGGGGCCTGTATTAAAGGCAGGCCTTTATTTAGACTAAGTCAGAGTCTGATCAGCTAACGGTCATTTGGAGTATTACCGCCAATTTCCACCGCATCTGGAACGGCTCCGATCCAGAATGGAAGTGATTTTTGCTGTCCGCCAATTCCTACCGGATTCATTTGTGAGGTGAATTTCGAGGCAGATTACAGACAAAAGAAGTCGCAAGAACTCACAAGAACCTGCGGATTCACGTTCCATCGCACTTTAATGAGTTGTCTCTGTAAAGACAGCCACATAGACATATAAGCAGTAGATTGAGTCCTTCCAGAGGAGGAAATACGATCCTCCTGAAACATGGAGTGTTTTATTTTGAAAAGAAACTGGATGTTTTATTTTGTGTCTGTGCCCGACTTCCTTTCCAGCACGGGTTAATCTGTGCTGAATTTATCTGGGATCAGCGTCCGGAAATAATAGAACTCCTGTGATCAGCTGTGGAGTCTGGCGATCCACATAGGAACGGAAAGAAGTTGGTGAAAATTGACACATTAACTTGAATGGTTACAATCAGCTACGATCGAAGGATACAGCCTTTTTGTAGCTGTTCAGGATGAGGTGGAAAAAGGGGTTAGTCCTGTCTTTGGGGTCCTAATTGTTCAAATGTTTTCAACAAGCCAGGACTCTTCTCTTAAAGATCATATGAAGGTCTTTTCTGAAAAAGTCTGGATGGCAGCAGATGTTGCTCCTAAACCTGGAGATATTGTTTCAAAACTGAGGATGCAGCATCTATGATTTCCAGTTCTTTGTTGAAAAGACAACTGGACTTGCCTAAGGCAAAACATCCCAATTAAGTCCAGTTGTTCTTTCCAAACAAAGAATGTCAGATTTTGATTCATCAGACCTTACCGGACAAGTGACATTAAGCCCATGCGGTGACTCCAACTACAGAGTCTTGATGCTCCTGTAGATATTGTTCAATATTAATGAAATTTTATTTAATTAATCCTGATTAAAAAACTTTAAAATATTGATCAGAACCAAGTTTTGTCTGCTCCACCTTCGTTCCTCTCCAACCCTGGTCCATTGTGGTATAAATCCTGTTTACGTCCCCCCATAACAAACAGCATTAAGCTTACAAATATCAGATTCAGATTCTGTCTGTGCATTCATACGTTCATTCCTCCGGGGTAATTCCAGCTCCCATTTCTTTGTAGTCATTTTATAACCACCTGCAATGAAACAACAAACACTCCAGGAGGGAAAAACCGAAGACACGTTTTTTCCGGAAACAGCCTGAAGGCAGGAGGTCCCCACAAAGATAGAGAAACAGGAATACTACTGCTGAGGTGT